CAACAGTTTTTATGGGTTTGCGAGCTGCTTTACATGAGGACTGTAAGTATACAATAGCTGAAATGGTTCATGGCAAAACTATTAAATTAACTGGCGAATTCTTTGAAGTATCAAACATGCCAATATCTAATGATATTTGTAGTAATCTTAATCAGATGGCCTTTACCTTCTAAAACTGAGCCGAAATTCATAATATAGCCTCAGACCGGCGCGTCCGAAACAGTTTGTCCCCTCTTGACATTTTCTTAATGAGAAAAGGTTAGTTCCCCTCCATGGATGAAGAAAAACATTGTTGTCGGACACTTACTCCATAGTAGAGGGGTTGATAGATTTGCAGTTTTTTTGATGATTATTTTGCTTTCATTTAAATGAAGTTCTAAATAAATAGGATATAACTAAACTTCTAATAAACTGGATATCCATCCAGGGCACTATTAAGTTAGAACAAATGTATGCAATGTTTATATTTCATTTACTATTCCTGATCAATCTCGGCAATAATTTGTGAATTTTATAACTTTGTTTCCACACTTCATTTACTATATTCGCATATTTTCGTATTAGAAATTAGAAAACGAAAACGAAATTTTACAAAATATAATAAATACGAACTAGCTTTGTAGGTCTGCAGGCTGGAATGCGATTTTTAATAACATATTTTCATTAACAAAATAATGGTAATGACTAATTTAATGAAATAATAATAATATATTATTACCATTAGATGATAGAATGGATTCATACAATTAGATTTTGAGATGAACTTACAGCATAATAAAGCTTTACATAAGAAAACAGAGATTTAAATCTGCTTTTTTCGATAATTTTGTTTTATAATATACAAATAAAAATCCGAGATACATTGGTGCGTTTATCATTAACTTTACAAATATTACATTGGACTATCAGCAAGAAAGTATATCTTAACGAGAATTTTTCTTGTAAAATTGGTTTTTTTTATGTTAGAAGAAAAAAATCCCAGACTTATAATGCAAATCAAAAGAATTTGAGAACAGTTTTAATTTTTATGAGAATTAATTATATGTCCAATTTCTTTCATAGGTAAGAAATTTCGTCTAAAACTATCATTTATCCAAAAGTTGAAGTCTATTTCATTTTCAACGAATTCTATTTGCACATAATATTTTCTAATTATTTTAGAAAGAGTAATCTTTCACGTTTTCAAAAGAATAAGGAAATAATGGGTGTTGACACAATGTAGTAAATCTGTTTTTCATATTTCTTCAGTAATGAAAATGATTACCCTGGAATATTTTCAAAGCAAAATTAAGAAAACCGTTTACGCAAATTTTGCATAAAATCTTCACGTGTTTTTTATTTAAAGTGTGGGAAAAAATCATGAAGAGCAAATTAATTCATGAGAATAACTTGAAATGCAATAATTCCAGTATATGAATAGGGAAAAGTGCAATACAGTTTTTTTATTCACAAATATCCCCCTCATATGCGTATTTATGTACTGTCGATTGAGAAATATAGGTTAGTAAATTAAAACCGTTTATTTCAATACTTTTCCTTATCAATATTTTTCGGCTCTTCAGTAGAGCGGTAAGGTGGCTGAACACTTGAGCTGCTTGGGTTTGAATCCCGGATAAATATTGGATTCATGGTTTTGTGTAACGTAAAGCAAGCCAGCTTTCTTAGAAAGTCCTCCACGAAGGCATCCCTCCCCTTATATAGTAATGGTGTGCTTTATGTAATTCAGTACGAAAATTAATCAATCAATACCGAGAACGGGTTTTCACCAGGAACGTAAAGCGAGCAATTTTCTCTAAAAAGGTTTACACGAAACATCCATCCCTTAAGCAATACGTTCAGTGCTTTCCGTAATCCAACCTTTTCATTACATTTAATAGTAAGTTGACATACACCTATTACAGACAAAATAACAACCTTTTTTAAAGATATTTTTTTATCAACTTGTCGAATCCCTGATAAAGAATTTCAGCAAATAAAACTGCCAAATTTTATAAAATGTAACTGATGTTTTGATTCAATTTAGAAGTAATGCGGCTTTATGATATTTAAATACTTTTGGCAGATCTCCAAAAAGGGTCTAAAGATAAATTGATTTTATTTTTTAAATCAATGAATATTGAAAGAATACGATAATGAAATCACAAAAACTATTATGCATACAATTGTCTCTTATTTATCTCCTGATAAATCATACAAAATTGCCTGCATAATAGAAGCACTTTGAAAGAGTTAACAGTTTTTATGTTTTATGCACTCCAAAAAAAATGTCAAAATAAATTATTATTCATAAGTATGAAAAGGAAGTAAACGTAAGCGGTTTTACTATTTTTAGAAAGGCATATCTAAAATTTAATCTATTCTTGTTATGATTAAAAACATAATATGGTAAGCTTAAAGAGCGTGCAAAATTGCTACGTTTTAATATAGCGAAGTCAGTACTAAAAAAATTAGCATTAAAATTATGAGACAGATTGAGAAAGAGATGGTCTTATTTAATTTTAAAGTATATTGGCGCGGACGAACCTGCGGTTTTTGCCAAAATGTAGCCAAACTGATAAGAAGAGGGAAAAATGTGTACCAGCGGCTACTCTGGAGCAGCGACAATGGACCACCAAAGATCTACAGATAGGCGTTCTCTAAATGGGGGCATGGATGGTACGACAGTTGTACCCATCCGGCGTCAGAAAGTCATTTTCCTGGTACAACTGCTGTACCAGCCGGCTTCGAAGAGGTTAAATCCCTATCAATCCAAATCCAATGTAAACAAAAGATTTTCATCCAAAAGATTGTACACATGCTTGCATTGTTTCTGCGGGTTGACAGAGTGAGAAAACCTTGGAGCCCCCATATGAAGGACATTTTTGGTACTGCAAAGACCCCAAAATATTTTCTTCTATCAATTAAAAATAAACAATTAGTATCTCTGCGGATAGGTTAAAACCGCTATGTGTTAAACTAATGAACTTTTGTCTCCACTTCAAAAGTGATCATACATCTGTGCCAAGTAAGCAAACATCAGTGCCAAGTCAACAACTAGAACAACCTAAAAAATTAACAAGCTATGGAAGACTAGTAAAACTTCCAGTTCGTTTCATTGACGTTATTGACTCTTCTTGAACTTATAACTCTTTCATTAATTTAAAACTTAATTATGTTTTTCTTGTTGTAATAATTTCAATTATATATTTGTATCAGTGTTATTTGTATAGATATTTTATTCTCTCCCACCATGTTTCGAGTACGTAACTTTGTTATGGTAGGGGATGATGTAGGCAAACAATATTATTGGTCATAATACTACAACTACTTTATAGATAATAACTACTACTTTCACTTCACCTAGAGTTTCAGTTTAGTTTCTAATGTGTCATGCTTGAAATCAGTAGGGAGTTAGTGAGGGCTTAAAAGAATAATAAAGATTTATATATGGAAAAAAAATTGATTCTTGCTTTTGTTTTTGCTATTTAAATTATTATAAAAAGAACTTAGCAACAACCACATACATTGATTTCTGCGCTTTCACAAAAATCCTTCAAACTTTCGACACTATGTATACAGTATATATTATATATATATATATATATAAATACGAATAAATTTTTGCAACAGTAATATTTTCAACAGCCACTGCTAATAAGTCAGATGCTGTTTGAATATTATTGTGTAAAATGTGCGCTGCACAACCTACTCGAACGATTTTTTGCTTCGAACGTTCGCTAAGTTTCGTAAAAACGTTATTAATGCCTCTTTTAGCTTTTCCACCAAATGTGTAGTGTTATCCTCATAGGCAATAAGTTATTGTTCAAATACTCTTTATAATATAACTTATGAAAAATTATTTATGAAGTTTCACCAGCAATGAAAACAAATCTAATTTCCAATTTTAATCCTGTTTATGCACAAAAATTGAACATTGTGGGAAATAATTTTAAATCTTTGTGAAACCATCATAATATATGGATATAAATGTGCATTTATATTCTTTCGTAATTGTGAAAACGCATGTATGAAAAACATTACAAATAATTGCTTCAACTTTTGTCCTTGCATGCAAATTTTTGTCATACAATGTTTTGATCATTTGCGATGTACAGTCACTGATCTGAAACTTTGATTGTCGTTTATGGTGTGGAAGCAAATAGCCCTTCAGCAAGGCTAGCTGTCCTCCATACAATACATATTCCTTGACGCCGTAAAGAAATGATAACCACCGAGTGTTACGTTGCCAATTTAGTTTACGTGCAACAATTTTAGTGTTTTTTAATTATGTTTTTTATTTCTTTATATTTGCTATAATAATAATAAATAATAGGTAATATATTTTTACAGTACATTTAAAATAAAAAATGCAGATATTTTCTAAAAAGTGGGACATTTTTAAAAATTGGCGGGACACTGGACAGTCCTCCAAAAAGCGGGACAGTCCCGCCAAAATCGGGACGTGTGGTCATCTTAATTAAGAGTAAATATAATGTAATACAGAGGTAACTTGACAATTTTATATTTGATACTATATGATTGTTGGCTTGTAAAAAATACTAAATATAACAGCAAAACGTTTTCTAAAGGTATATCCAGTTACATTTTTTGGCAGCTATTAATTAAAAGAAAAAATAAATAGTATGACTTCTGTTTTACATTCTGTAAAATGATATACAAAATGCAAATTATAAATGCATATGTGCTTTATATATAATGTAATACAGAGGTAACTTGACAATTTTATATTTGATACTATATGATTGTTGGCTTGTAAAAAATACTAAATATAACAGCAAAACGTTTTCTAAAGGTATATCCAGTTACATTTTTTGGCAGCTATTAATTAAAAGAAAAAATAAATAGTATGACTTCTGTTTTACATTCTGTAAAATGATATACAAAATGCAAATTATAAATGCATATGTGCTTTGTAAAACTTATAGCAAAATATATTAGTGACATCTTACATTAATTTAGTTATAAATTACATTAATTCAGTTATGAAATTTTTTCTGCAGCAACCAAAAGAGACATCCAGGTATGATGAAGCTATGAATGTAAAATCATTATTGCGGGAGTTATGCCAGGTAGTGTTTTTCTATTCCTTTTTTAATTGCTGGTTAATTTTTTTTTTTTTTTTCTGGTTATCATACATTATTTGAATTTTATTTTTATGTACTTATTTTTAGTTTATTGATGTTCCAAGTGAGAATCATATGGTAGTTCAACTCAAAAATCTAGCTTCAAAAGTTCTGTTCTCTTTAAGTTTAAATAACTTCAATGCTGTTTTCAGTAGAATTTCAGCAAGGTAAGAGTAAAGTATTTTCTTTATTTACCTTATATGTTTTGTTACCTTACATGTTTTGTTACCTTACATGTTTTCTTATTTTGATTTAAAAAATCTGTTATGTACTACAAATATATTAATATTAAATATATTAGTTTATACTGCAGCATCAACTTGGATTTATTATAAAAAATTATTTGTTAAGAATGTTATTAAATTTATAAAAGAAGATCATTTTATAGCACACATCATGGTATGCACTGCTGGCCCTTAAAATTGCAACACCAGGAAGGAATGATCTGACGAATGTCAAAATCATATGAAAGAAAGAAAGAAGTTGGGATATGCAAATGATTAGTGTTTCAGCGTATTTAGATGACATGAGCGGTCGAAACGACATCTGAAGCATTGCATAAAAAGAAAAGTTGTGTAGTGGATTTTTCACTCAGAAAGTGCTTTGTAGGGTTAAGTTTGCTCAGAATATCATTTTATGACTCGAATAAGAAGAGGAAATACTTATCAGCAAGTTTCGAAATTCAAAGGAGACAGGATCGATGCCTATCGAAAGTGTAGATTATTGTTTTCTGATTTCGCCAATCGCAGTGGTTGACATCCAACCACTGTCATGCGAATATGGAATCAATGAATTGCTGAGGGTCATACTGAATGGTATGCAGGATCTCAATGCCCTCCCAAGACTAACGTTCGGAAGGACAAGCATATTGTGAGGTCAACCTGCAAAACTGTATGACCACATCATGGACCATGAGTCAGGAAATGGGCATGTTTTCAGCATGTCTAGTATCACCTCGTAAGGTGTGTCGACGTTTGCAGCAGTGTGCACTATCAGCAGGGTGACCATTACTTTGGCTTCCCTTAACAATGCAGCATAGAGAGAGACGGCAACTGTAGTACGCCAAACGACAAAGCTTGGTACAGGAGTTGCACTATGTCACTTTTTCAAACGAGTCTTGGTTCTACATGCAGTATTCTGATGGCCATATAAGTGTCTGGAGTGTCTAAGGAAATCGCACGCCACCTGCTTGCAATCGATATCGGCATAGGGGCCCTGCACCTGGTGTGATGGTTTGGGCAGCCATTGGGTACACAAGATGCACATATCTAGTTTGGATCAATGGTAATTTGAATGCAGATGGGCACATTTTTGAGATCTTACATCCAGTGTGGACAAGAAGTGAAAAATAGACACTAAATGCAGAACATTCAAAGATCAATGAAACTTTCAATATTTCGTGATTCAGTTCAGTAATAAGTTGCTGTGTTTGATTTGAAACCATGGCTGTTCTCAAAGAATATAACATTAAATGTCATCATGAAACGAAACATTTTTCAAAATTATTCAAAATATACAGGAAGTTTGTGGACTGAAAATCTTGAAGCTTTCCAGTGTGGATTGCTATCACAGCTATGTTTGTTTACAAAAGTCAATACTAAAGAAGAGGCTGCCACTTGTACCAGCTTTTGTGTGGCTCTTGAAATTGCAAAACATGGAAAATCATTCACCGATGGAGAAACGATCAAAGAATGTGTGATTTCAGTAACTGAAGAAATGTGCCCCGAAAAGGTAAATTTATTCAAAACTGTCAGTTTGTCAGCAAACACTGTGGCTCAGAAGATAGATATTGATAGTATTCCACGGTGTGACTACTGGGAAGGATATTTTGAAGGGAGTTGAAAATGCCATACCAAAAAGAACCCTCCATGGAAAAACTTGAAATCTATTACAACTGATGGAGGCAGAAATGTGTGATTAAAAAATACAGGTGTGGTTGCCCTTGTACATAATGGCTCTTGTAAATAAAGCTGTAGAAAATGATGGTAGTTCAAAACCATTAGTCGTGCATTGTATTATTCATTAACAGTCCTTATGTGTGAAATTTTTGGATGTGTCGGAAGTTCTGAAACCAGTCTTGCATTGTATTATTCATTCCTTAGTCATCTTGCATTGTATTATTCATCAACAGTCCTTATGCATGAAATTTTTGGATGTGTCTGAAGTTCTAAAACCAGTCATATTAGTTGTTAATTTCATTAAATCCATCAGGCTGAGTCACCGACAATTCCGTGATTTTAGAGATATTGGAGAAAATGACTTACCATATTTTACTGTCGTGCGCCGGCATAGTTGCAGAAAAGTCCTCCAGTGCTTTTTTGAACTTCGAGTAGTGATGAAAAATTTTTGGAATGAAAAGCATCGCCCTTTTACTGAATTACAAAATAGTGAATGGCTGTTTAAGTTAGCATTCTATGTTGATTTGACAAAACATATGAATGAACTGAATTTGAGACCATAAGGAAAAAACCAGCTTCTTCCTGATTTATAACTAATATCAAATTGTTCCAGCAGAAAATAAAATTTTTTCAATCACAATTACATAAAAAATATTTCACAGATTTAAAAGCATGCAAAATATTCAGGCACACTACTAAGACTGAATTTACTGTAAAGATAAATTGTGATATTTGTTTCTCAGACTTTGATGTCATTGTGAATGAAATTAAGATTTTTCAAAATCCTTTTGATACTGACATTGAAACCCTAGCCCGGAACTTCAAATGGAAATTATTGATTTAAAGTGCATTGATAATTAAGAACAAATATCAAAACTCATCTTTGTTGGAATTTTATAAGAGTCTTCCTCTCGTACAATTTCATAATTTGCATAAATTTGCTCGTGAGCTCTTTTCTGTTTTTGGTACTACTTTACTTGTGTGAGAAAACTTTCTCCGAACTACAAACTGTTGTCAGTGGAAAATTAGAATTACTTAAATCTCATTAGTATTTTTTACAAGTGGACACTTGTCGTTAAACTTTACTTAGCAAGTAAATAAAACCGAGTTATTATTCTGTGTTATTTTATCTAACTTATCAAAGCAACAATAAGCCATTAGCTGCCATGCATCAGATTGATGGCACTGGCGGGCCGTAGTTTGGAGTCCCCTGGTCTAGAGAAAGGGTCTCAGCTGCTTACTATAGTTTCTACATTTAGGGGACATTCCTCAGTAACATTTGGGATTTAACACACAGTTCTCAGTTAATCTTTCCTTTAGCAAACCTAGTGGACATCTTCTAAATACTTTGCAATTCTTTTAAGTATTGAACTGTTCATGCATAAAAGGCATGCTGAGTGATCATCTGAAGAATAAGTCACATAGGAGACAAATATTATGAAATAAGATGAGAAGAGCTTTCAGTAATATGTTTCTTACTCATTTCCTTCAGCGGCTTTCTGATTTCGTCTTGTTTGGCAAATGAAAGGTACAGGCCATTTAATAGACTGATGGCTCCCTTTGTTGTGTTGTTGTAATAGACTTATGTGAGCAGTGTCACTAGATAAAGTTCAAAAGACATCTTTTCATCAAATACATTTCTGTGCTAGGTGACTTGCAGTTAGTGTGCATCATCCAATAAGCAACCATAAAATCACCAAATTTACTAAAATATAGAAAAATAAGTGCATTATAATAAAAATATAGAAAAAATGTAAACAGCTACAAATGTTTACAAAAAATTAACAATATTACAAATGTGAAAACATTTAAGATTTTTTTACCAGTTATTAAATAATGGAATGATTGCTATAAAGAATATTGGTTTTAAGAGAATTGTAAACATTATGAAATCCTGCTGTGTTATTAAAACTGGGCTATTTTTATGCGTATTTATCTTTCCAGAATCTTGAAATTCAACAGATATTTTAATTTGATGTGAAAATATATTTTTCTGTGTGTTTATGACTGCTTGCATGCATTGAAACCATGCACATTTGCAGAGTTTAAATGCATTTGAAAGCTATTTATATTTTTCTTTTCTCTCTCTCTCTTTTTAGGATGCAAGAATTATCCAATAGCAATGAAGAAAATCCGGACTTCATTGACATTGAACTTATTCAGCATATAAATTGGGATGTTAATCGTTTGATTAAATTATTAAATGGTATTTTATGTTTTTTCTGTCTAAGAAATAATTTAATCTTTAGTGATATGTTAAGAGTTTCATACAGAATATCTGGTTAATTATCCATCAAAAGTTTCATAGAAAAATGTTTTAAATTATAAAATTTTATAAGCAATTGAGTTTTAAAATTGACTCAAGGGGGAAAAAAGGGGGAAGGGACAGCTCCATTTCTCCTATTCTTCTAGGCTGATTGCCAAAATTCAGCTTCTGTTTTTTGTGTCTTGAAAGCACAACTTAAGATATATGTTAGATTTATATATAGCATTATTCTAATATACAGGGTGTTTCAGCAAATCGATTACAAACTTTCAGGAAAGATAAAAAGGTAAAAGGCATCTATATGATGGAAAATCACATAGTGGTGCATGGTCGGAAATGCTTTCCTGGCGCAGTAGGGACAGCTCAAAACACAAGAAACAAAGAGCACAAACAGGGAGTAAAAATATGTTTATTATGCTTAATACAGCAGAAACCAAGAAATAAGAACAAAAACAGACAATAATCATCATCAAAGAAGGTGTTTGACATTATAACCCCGGCTCGTGATGCAGGCCTGACATCTCTGGTGTTAGGGAGATCTAATATTCTTGGAAAACATCAGGCATGTCACAGACTTCCATAGCAGCTGCCGTAATGCATATAACAAATTCTTCAGCACTGTTAACGGGGATTTTGTACACCAGTGTCTTGACACCTCCCCCAAGAGGAAATAGTCAATGCAAATGAGGTTTGGCAGTCTTGCTGGCCAATGCACCAAACAATTTCTGCCGATCCAGTATTGAGGATACATTGCTTGCAAGTGGAAAATCACATCAAGGCTGTAATGTAAGGGGATCCCCTCATGCTGAAACCATAATAAACATATTTTCTCAGCCTGATCTTGTGTTTTGTGTCTTCACTACTGTTTCAGAAAAGCATTTCTGACTATGCAGTGCTATATGATTTTCCATTGTCTAGGTGTATTCTAACTCTCCTGAAAGTTTGTAACTGATTTGCTGTACGTATTTTGACACAAAATTGGTTTCTGAAATGCAACTTCCCCCCTATATTTCAATTCTGTGTATCAGATTATGCCAAAGTTCAAAATTTTGTAAAAATTGCACCAGTATTTTTTTTAAATTAGCAATTAACATTTTAATCATGCAGTGTTAATTAAATTGCCCATATATTGACCGTCAAATTAAACTTACTTAATTTCTTTCATAGTTTGAAATTTTGATTAAACTGATACTTTTTTTCTGATTTATTTTAAAACTGGTACTTTTTCGTTTTGCCAGCGCAGGCGGTAAAGTCTCCAATGATGGTACAACTGTTGCCAAATGGGATATCCTCGCTGGTAACCTTTTACGCTTCATTTTCACAACAAGTCGCAGCCATTTCTTATCAGATTGATTGTTTCTTTCAATACTGGCATACAACTAATTACACAGAATTTTTTACCAGATAGTTCAGTTTTCTGCCATAAGGCCATTCGCGGTAATTAAGTCAATTAGGATGAATTCACACCGTTCACCCTAGGGCGAAAATATAGAAAAGGCAAAGTCAAGGGTTAAATTGATCAAATCTAATGAGAATGCAATAGCTAAGTAAAGCACTGCAGTTTTACATAACTTCTGACTGAGTAAGCTAATTGTGCGAATTGAAATAATTCTTGCATTTAACCTTGTATTTCAAATTAAGATTTAATTCGAAACGTAGATGAGATCACTTGGGGTCAACAGCGTAGTTTACGTGAGATGAGATCACTTGGGGATCACTGATATGAACTGGCAAATTATAATGTTGAACCATGAAAGCATAGTAAACTCTTAAATTAATGTCTTTTTACAAATTTATTTTCTTTACTCATTGGCTTTTTACAAAATTTTAAATGATATTAAAATGCTTATTTAGAACTAACATTTGTTAACAGTTTTTATGCATATACTACTGTATGCTGTTGCCAATAAAGTCTGCTTGACGAGATTTGCGAGGGTGAAACAGAAAAGTACCTTAAAAATTTGTATTTTTAAATAATATTTATAACTTTTTATAAAAAAATTTTTAATACGTGTAACATTTTTATCATCATAGTAGATGTATTTCTGAGCAAACTTGCAAATAATTAGAGCTTTTTTATTCAAAATTTCCGAAAATATATGTGAGTGAATCAGTGTATTGGTGCGTTTTGAAATCTGGCATATTTGTTATAAGCAATAATAATGGCAAAACTTGTTTATGTCTTTTTTTCCCCAATTTTAATTGAATTGCAGCAGTTATTTTGAATCTTAGATATCCAAATAAATTTTTATAGAGAACTAATCATATGGAATTATTCACTCTATTTTATTAATGATGTATAATATTTATTAATACTATGCTTTTATTGGTTGCTTACCTATTTAGTCCTGAAAAATAACTGAAAAATTTATTTTTTTACAACTTTAGTAAATTTAAACTACTACTGCTAAATACAATCCAATCAATAAATAATCCACTTAAAAGTTCACATCCAAACAGTTGTAAGTCAGCTATGTTCTGAAATCCATGGAAATCACAATGCTATATCATGTTGTCAATGCTGAGCAAGTGAATAAACGTAAATTAATAATGAGAGGCAAGAAAATAAACATATTCCTGCCTTATCAGCTTCAGTCTTGATACAAAGGCAGAAGTGAAAGTTTGGTTATAGGTTTT